GTTATTGATTTACCATCTAACTTTCTCATGGGCTCATGGGCTCCTCAAGGGCAGGACATTGTTTCATTTGAAGAAAAAAAAAACGTGCAGTAAGATGTTTATTTTTCTACCATTTGTCCAGTTTATGTTACTAACAGCAAGGAGATTGTTTCCAGAGGAAGATGCCTAGTGGGTGCTCACGTGGGCATGTTAGATGTTTGCATGGAGTTCTGCGATTTTGAGATTTCATAGAGCATAGGGTGGGAGTGGTTGAGAACTGGGGCTTTGTCAGTGACGGTGGGCGTGTGATTCTGTTGGCAAGACATTGTCTGAGGCCGTGTTTCTCTGGTACTGTGTATCAAGCATATGTCTACACTTAATCCTCTAGGATTCACCAGTGAGTATCAGTGACCATCAGTGATACTGATTGTGTGAAGGGGTGTCCCTACCTTCCCTCAACTCGTGAGTGTGTCCCTGGATTGGGGATGCTGTGCCCATGCCCTGGGTCTCTCTGACTCTGGCTGTCTGCTGTGCCCCAGAGGGTCCTGCATTCCTGTCCCTGTCAGGGTCTCCTGACCATCCCATGTTGCTCTCTGTGTCTGAAGTTCACGGCCCTCCTGGGTCGCTGGGGCTCTAGGAGACTGTATCTGTCCCCAAGTCCAGTCCTTGCAGAGCTGGGAGGGCAGGGACTCTGTGTCCTTGAAGTTAAGAAGGCCCGCTGGGAAGTTAGCGGCTGGAGATAAGATTTCATAATCACGAGAGGAAAGGAGGGAGAAGGATCCAGGTTTGATTTGAGGTCAGGTCAGGCCAGGGTACAGGGTCTCAGAATCATTGTAAGAATAGTCCTAACAGCTTCTGTTAATTGTGCATTTACCATGTGCCAGGCACTGTTCTTTGTACTTATATTTGTACTTTTTAATATTATATTTATACTGTCATTTATAAATATATTTGGGGTTTCCCAGGTGGCTCAGTGGTAAAGAATCCACCTGTCAATGCAGGAGATGTGGGTTCGATCCCTGGATAGGGAAGATACCTGGAGAAGGAAATGGCAACCCACTCCACTATTCTTGCCTGGGAAATCCCATGGGCAGAGAAGCCTGGCGGGCTACAGTCCATGGGGTCACAAAAGAGTCAGACCCAACTTATCGACTAAACAACAACATATTTATATTTATACTATTGTATTTATTCACCATCACAAATAAGTACGTATATTATATTTATAAATAATTGTGTGAATTGTTCCTAATATTTTAAATAATGTTTTATTGGTTATAAATTACTTTATATAGTAATTCTATTAGCATTTTCTGTTTCTATCATCATTTTGTATTATCCTATGGAAGATAGGAGGAAACGTTCAGAGAGATGAGTTCACTTGCCCGAGGTCATTCAGTCAGGTGACAGTCAAAATCTGAACCTAGTTCTTAGTGTTTCCAGCCTTTGGCTTGTAGCTCCTACATTACCCTGTGCAAGGCAGAAGACGGTGTCTAGGAGAACAAGAGGAAGCAGGGTCGGCTGAGTGGCTGTGGAAGAACAGCAGATTGTTGTCAGCGTGGTGGGGTGCTGGTGTATGTTGACCTTTGTCGTGAGCCAGGCACCATGCTAAGGGCTTTCATAATAAGAATATGGCAAGGACTTCCCTGGTGGTCGAGAGGCTAAGGACTCCGAACTTCCAAAGCAGGGAGCTTGGGTTCAGTCCCTGGTCAGGGAACTAGATCCCACAAGCTGCAGCTCAAGATTCAGTATGCTGCAACTAAGACTGTAGATCTCATGTGCCACGACTGGGACCCAGCGCAGCCAAATAAATAAATATTAAAAAAAAGAATAGGCAAACACTCATATGGCACATAGCAAGGGCCCTACTTTAAGTGCTGTTATGTGGATTATTTCATTCACTCCTTACACCAGCATCCTGAGGTGGATACCGTCTGTCCTTGTCTCCATGAGACCCTGAGGTAGAGTCACTGCGAAAGCTCGTGGAGGTACTGGGATCTGGCTCCAGGCAGCCTGGCTCCATAGGCTGTTCCTTTAGCCCCCCATACTTTTCTACTATCCCTTGTAATATTCACAGCAATCCTATAGTGTAGGAAGAAATGTCACCCATTTTACAGATGAGGAAACTGAGACCCAGACTTGGACTCACCCACAGAGCTGCAGACTTAAATGACTACCTATCTGATCAGCTCATTCACATACCTGACCCTGTTCTCATCTGGCGGGAGGCCAGGGACTCCAGAGAGCCTCTGAAGGGCCTTGGCCAGACTCCCAGATGCCAGGGGCCTCATGTCCTTGAGGTCCTAGCCTCCCTAACCTTCCTGTGCAGCCCCTTAATTTTGCCTTTGGTTTGTACCATTTTGACTTGATGATCAGTAAATATTCATGTTACAAAAATTGTCTATTTTCCCCTAGATTATGTTTTTTTTATTTGTTGCTATACAAAAGGTTTAAGTTTTATACAGTTTAACCTATCCTTTGTTTATTTAATTAAAAAAAAATCTATTTATTTGGCTGTGCTGTGTCCTAGTTGTGGCATGTGGGATCTAGTGCCCTGACCAGGGATGGAACCCAGCGCCTCTGCATTGGGAGTGTGGAACCACCAGGGAAGTCTGTTGCTTATTTTATAGATTCAAGATTTCTAATCTTGGTGAAGAAAATCTAGTTCCCTGGGAGTGAGAATTCTGGGGTAGGGGGCAGTGGCAGCTTCTTCCTTCCCTCTCCCCTTCCTTGACTTGTCCTTCTTGGGGTAGGTGGCAGAGGGTGTTGTTTGATATCTTGTCAGTTTGTAAGCCCTCTTTATATATGTTGTTGTTGTTTTTCAGTCACCCAGTTGTATCCAACTCTTTGCAACCCCAGGGACCACAGCACACCAGGCCTCCCTGTCCCTAACTATTGACTGGAGTTTGGCGAAGTTCATGTTCTTTGCATCGGTGATGCTGTCCAACCATCTCATCCTCTGACGCCTCTTCTCCTTCTGCCTTCAATCTTTCCCAGCATCAGGGACTTTTCCAATGAGTTGTCTGTTTGCATCAGATGACCAAAATACTGGAGCTTCAGCTTCAGCATCAGTCATTCCAGTGAATATTCAGGGTTGATCTCCCTTAAGACTGACTAGTTTGAGCTCCTTGCTGTCTAAGGAAGTTTCAGGAGTCTTCTCCAGCACCACAGTTCAAAGGCATCAATTCTTTGGTGTTCTGCCTTCTTTACGGTCCAGCTCTCACAACCGTATGTGACCACTGGGAAGACCATAGCCTTGACTATATGGACCTTTGTCGGCAGAGCAATGTCTGCTTTTCAACACACTGTCTAGGTTTGTCATTGTTTTCCTGCCAAGAAGCAATCATCTTCTGATTTCATGGTTGCAGTCACTGTCCACAGTGATTTTGGAGCCCAAGAAATGAAAATCTGTCACTACTTTCAACTTTTCCCCTTCTATTTGCCATGTAGTAATGGGGCCAGATGCCATGACCTTAGTATTTTTAATATGTAGTCTTAAGCCGGCTCCTTCACTCTCCTCCTTCACCCTCAACAAGAGGCTCTTTAGTTCCTTTTCACTTTCTGCCATTAGAGTGGTATCATCTGCATATCTGAGGTTGTTGATGTTTCTCCCACCTATCTTGATTCCAGGTTGTAACTCATCCAGCCTGGCATTTCTCTTGATGTGCTCAGCATATAGGTTAAACAAACAGGGTGACAGCAGACAGCCCTGTCATACTCCTTTCTCCATCTTGAACCAATCAGGTGTTCCGTACAGGGTTCTAACTGTTGCTTCTTGACCCGCATACAGGTTTCTCAGGAGACAGGTAAGATGGTCTGGTATTCCCATCTCTCTAAGAGCTTTCCACAGTTCATCATGATCCACATAAAGGTTTTAGCGTAGTCGATGAAACAGAGATAGATGTTTCTCTGAAATTCCCTTGCTTTTACTATAATCCAGCGAATGTTGGCAATTTGTTCTCTAGTTCCTCTTCCTTTTCTAAACCCAGCTTGGACATATGGAAGTTCTTGGTTCGAATAATGCTGAAGCCTAGCATGCACGATTTTAAGAATGACATTACTAGCATGGGAGGTGAGTGCAATTGTCCAATGGTTAGCACATTCTTTGGTACTGCCTTTCTTGAGAACTGAAATGAGGATTGACCTTTTCCAGTCCTGTGGCTGCTTCTGGATCTTCCAGAAGTGCTGGCACAATGAATGCAAAACCATCATCCTTTAGGGATTTGAATAGTTCTGCTGGAATTTCATTACATCCATTAGCTTTATTAACAGCAGTGCTTCTTAAGGCCCACTTGACTTTGCACTCCAGAATGTCTGGCTCTGGGTGACTTACCACACCATTGTAGTAATCTGGTTCATTAAGATCTTTTTATACAGTTCTTCCCTGTATTCTTTCCATCTTTATATATAATAGCTACTAATTCTGTGCTGTCCCAAGTGTTGCAAATTTTCCCCCCAAGCCTTTTGTATATTACCTTGCAATGATTTTCCTCCTGCAAAAACGTCTCAACCTTGCTCTGGAAGATCTGCTCCTGGGGAGGTGGGGGCGACTCCTTTCTCATCTCCCTCCTCTCTCTCCCTTCCCCTCCTGGGTCTGTCTCTCCTTATCTCCAGCTTCTCCTTTCCCAAGGGCATGCCTGGGGGGAAGGGTAATGCCCAGCAGGGAGGCCCAGCTCCCCTCCCGCTCTTTGGGCCTCTCCCTATCTGGAAGCGGGGGTAGGTTGTCCGTTCGGTGTCAGTTTTTAAGAGCTCCTCCCCTCTATAACTATTAACCCTATGCTACCCTCTGTATTCCAAGCCACAGGTCCTGTCATTTGCTACATTCCGTCTTAAGCGGCTGAATTTTATGCAAATAAAGTCCATCCTGTATGCAGCGGTGGTGTTTTCTGATGTAGTCTGGGGAGTCTCCCAGCTCCCGGGCGCCCTCGCCTTCGCCCCCCAAGCCCTTATCTCGCAGCTTTTCGCTTCCCACGGGTCGGGCGCATAAAAGGGAGCGGGAGCTCGGGTCCCGCAGCGTCACCATGTTCCCGCTGTGCCCACTGCTGCTGACCCTGGCCCTGGCGGCCGTCCCCGGCGTCCGAGGCGCCTGCCCGGCGTCCGCCGACCTGAAGAACGCCAACGGGACGCGCACTTGCGCCAAGCTCTACGACAAGAGCGACCCCTACTACGAGAACTGCTGCGCCGGCGCCGTGCTCTCCTTGGAGTCGGGCGCCGACCTGCCCTACCTGCCCTGGGACTGGACGAACGTCATCTCCTCGATCGTGGTGGGCCAGCGCTGCGAGCTCACCGTGTGGTCCCGTCGTGGCAAGGAGGGCAAGTCGCGCAAGTTCTCCGCCGGTAGCTACCCGCGCCTGGAGGAGTACCGCCGCGGCCTCTTCGGGGACTGGTCCAACGCCATCTCCTCGGTCTACTGCAGGTGCCCGCCCGCCGGCCCCACCACTCAGACCCCTGAGCCTCTGACCCAAACTGAGCGCCTTAGAAGCAGTTTCCGAGGTCCCCCTTCTCCCCCATGCCCCCTCTCCCAAGCCCATGCCCCTTGGATCTCCCAGATCCAATTCTGAGATTCCCAGACTTCATTCTGGGAGCTTCCCCTCCCATCTCCCTGAATCCTACCCACCAGAAGGCTGCGCTCTCAGGGGAGGGTAGTCCTGATGGGAAGCCATCAACCCCCTCACTTCGAAGCCCCTAGAACCGAAGCTAGTCCTTCCCCACCCCTCTAGATCATCAGATCCCAGGGCTCTCAGACCCAGCTCTGGGGCTCCCAGATTCTAAACCTGACTGACCCAGACCTTAAGACCCCAGACTTAATTCCAGGAGTGCCCTATCTAGCCCTCACGCTCCACTCTTCTAGATCCTCTACATCAGCCTTGGCCCCAGAAACTGGTTCCAGTAGCCTCCGTTAAGGTTCTGAAGCCTCCAGGCCCAACTTTGGAGGCCCCTGAGCCCACCCTGGACTCACATATTCAAACTCACAGACCCCACGGCCCTAGATCTAGCCAGGGCACCCTTTAAAACCACCCACCTGCCCCTCTACCCCTAAGAACTCCAAGAACCCCCAGCCCCAAACTCTCAGGTCAGGATGCCTGCCCCTGAACTTGGAGCCCAGCCCCAGCCCCCAACCCCATCTCAGGCTTCTAGAATCCCTCCTACCATAAATCTCTGAAGCCCTGGCACCCCCTGGCAATAATTTTCGGTTCTGTTGCAGTTGCAAATGACACCTTAAGAGATCACTCATCTCCAGCCCTCACGAAGTGCTAAGCCCCTCACCTGGCCTTGTTTGTGGGGGCTGCTGAAGTCTGTAAGACCCAGGAGAACAGAGGTTTCTGCCTGCCCTCATCTTGCCTTCCCTGTAATACAGCTATTATGAAGCCATCCCTGTCTGCCATCTACTTGTGTCTGGGCCCCAAGTCCACGCAGATGCGGGGTCAGGAATGGAGGAGGGAGCAGGGTGGTCAGGGCTGGGTCAGCCCATACCTGGAACAGTACCTGCTGTGGATGGGGACACATGTGTAGATCCTGTGGGGGCACACACACGGATTTAGGTGTGCACACATGTGCACATACCCATAGGGCATCTGCATGACAAGCAAAGGTCCTGCTGGCTGATTTTTTAAAATATTGATTTGTTTGTGTGTACCAGGTCATGGGCTTTCCAGGTGGTGCAGTAGTAAAGAATCTGCCTGCCAATGCAGGAGACGCAAGAGACTGGTTCAATCCCTGTGTTGGGAAGATCCTCTGGAGTAGGAAATGGCAACCCATCCCAGTATTCTTGCCTGGAAAATTCCATGGACAGAGGAACCTGGAGGGCTGCAAAGAGTCGGACATGACTGAGCATGCACGCTGGGTCTTAGTTGTGGCACGTGGGATCTAGTTCCCTGAACAAGGATGGAACCTGGGCCTCCTGGCTTGGGAGCTCAGAATCTTAGCCACAGGACCACCAGAGAAGTCACACTGCTGGCTGATTGTTAAACACTGAAATGCTTTCCACACTTTTTGGTGGATAGCCACTTTCTGAATCCCCCCCTCCCCACACCAGGTGTTCAGGCCTGCCAGGGACTTCAAGACTCTCTCAGGATTCATATGTAGGATGGTAAGAGGCCTTCAAGGACTCTGCCTCATGTAGGTCCAGGGTCTGTTTTGTGATCTGCCCACAGCCCAGGACTCATGGGTTGTGAAATACTTTTAACACCCCAGGTTCCAACACATGGAGAACACTTTCATTCTAATCTGCATATTTGTGAAAATTCAAATTTGCAATTTACGACTCCTAAGGATAAGGACCCTTGATGAGTACCTGGGTTTGGGGGATCTGGAGGAATAAGGGAAGAGCAATGAGGGGTCTTGGGAGGCGGAGAAGTAGAGGGATAGCTCTGGGGGATGATAACATGGGATTGGGGGGAGAAAGGAAATCTGGGGACATTGTGAGAGTTAGGAGACACGGGAGAAGCGTAAGTAGAGATGCTCCTGCTGCTGCTGCGTCGCTTCAGTCGTGTCCGACTCCGTGCGACCCCACAGACGGCAGCCCACCAGGCGCCGCCATCCCTGGGATTCTCCAGGCAAGAACACTGGAGTGGGCTGCCATTTCCTTCTCCAGTAGAGATGCTACAAGGCCATAAATTTGGAACATAAAAGATCAGAGGTTAAGGGAGGCGCTGGAGATCAAGGATTAGAGGACATGCAAGTGGGACATGAACTCGGTGAAGTTCTAAGGAGCAAACACCAGGGAGACAGCATTCCTTGGGCACATGTATTTATTCATTCAGTCAACAAAGGTTTATTGAGCCCCTATTATCTTGTCAAGCACTGACTCAGGAAGAAGTGGCCACTGCCCTCATGAAGAGAGTGCAGCAAAGATGCCAGCAAGACAGACATTCAAAGATGTGTGAAGATGCAACTGAGAAGCCAAGGGCCAGGCAGGATTACAGGGCATGGGAGGTAGTATGTGATCCAGGAGCAGCCAAGGGGACAGGAGGGTGTAAAGGGAGAAGGGGGATGCTCAGGGAACACGGTGGAGCCTAAGGGTCAGGAGGTACTAAGGGTTAGGGACTTCTAAGGCTTAGGGAGCTGCTAGGCGATCAGAGAGATGCTAAGATATCAGAAGTGATAAGGGAATAAGAAGTCGCTGAGGGGTTGGTATCTTGCATCATCATATAAGAGGTCAGGAGGGGCCCAGGGTCAGCCAATCACTCCCGGAATTGCACAGACACAGAAGAGTCGGTCACCCTAGTCCGCCGCAGCCCACCACGCTCCATCCGGTTCTTGGTCTTGTGCAGGAAGTGGACAAAGCGGACGCCAGGGCCGTATTGGCGGAATACGTGGGACACCTGGGGCGGCACCAGGGTTAGGAAGAAGTTCTTACTAGGGACCCATAACCCCGGCTCTCCTCCCTCCTCCCTCTGTGAGGTCTTGGGACACGAAAGCATATATGGGGGTGGTGGCCAGGGTAAGGGCATCTCACCTGGATCCAGTGGCCGGGAGGGCCTCTTCCGGAGGTGCGGGGGGCCACGTGGTGCTGCGCGATGACTGTGCTGCGGTCAGCGGCCAGCAGCCAGACGTGCAGCTCATACACACACGCGTCCAGTCGGCTGTCCTCGAACCTGGGGTCGGGGGCAGGCCTTCAGCTGCCACCACAGCCCCCACTCCTGGTACGATTGCCGTTCCACACACACACCCACTGGCACTCACTATGTGCACCGGGGCTGGGTGCTGCTTGTGACACGGCAGTGACCAAGACAACTTCTCGCCCTGCTCTCGTGGAATTCATAACGGTCCAGTGGGGGAGGCGGACATGTCGTTAAGAAGCGCCACCCAGGCATGGTCAGGGCTGGGATAGGGCACATTCGGGTACTGGAGCATAATGCATCTGACCCAGCTTGGGAGTGGTCAGGGAAGGCGCCCCGTGGCCCGAGTTCACTCCCTGGTTGAGGAACTGAGATCCCTCAAGCTGTGAGACGCAGCCAAATAGAGGGGGGAGTCCACCTCAAGAAAAGAGGGTGACCTACATCCAAGGAAGAAAGAAGAGGCTCTGGGCTGGAGCATTTCAAGAACAGAACGATTCAGAGCAAAGGGGCCGGAGAGATGGAAAGGGCTGTGTCCCGCAGTGGCAGGAGTCTCTCGGGGAGCACGGGGCGAGGCATACGCTTTGGGGAGCCTGGCTGGGCGAGTGGGCGGGGCGGAGGCACGCACCAGTCCATGACCGTGATACGCGGCTGCTCATCGTCCAGGAGCTCCTCCCACAAGCCCTCGGCCAGAAGGTCCACGCACTGCTGCTTCACCGTCCAGCTGGGAGAGAGGGCACGGGGGAGGGCTGCCATCTGGTCAGCCGGGCCCCCAGAAGCGGGGCACCCTGATCGCCGCACCCTCCTAAAGACGTCAAGGGCGCTGGCCTTTGGGGGCTGAGCACCCACTCAGCACCTCACAGCCTCGGTTCCTGTGAGCTTCTCTGAGGGCGATGCATCCTGAACCCGGTGTTGCAGATGGGGAAACCGCGGTGCAGACGGGGAAGTGAATTATCAAGATGGAGCAGCAAAGACTTGGCGGAGCTGAACCCAAGTGCCTGTGACTCGGAGCCCCTGAGTTGCGGCACCCCACCCACTATGCAGAAAGGGGGCCCGGTTTAAAGGCAGACAGCTGGTGGCCTAGGTGACTCTCCCGTTCCCACAGAAAGAGGCTGAGTATAGGAACAGTGTTAACTGCTAGGCTTCCCTGGTGGCCCAGGCAGTAAAGAATCCCCCCGCGATGCCGGAGACTCGTGTTGGATTCCTGGGTCAGGAAGATCCCCTGGAGGAAGGGAATGGCAACCCACTCCAGTATCCCTGCCTGGAGAATTCCATGAACAGAGGAGCCTGGTGGGCTCCATCCATGGGGTCGCAAAGAGTTGGACACAAACTGAGTGACTAAGCACAAAATGGAACACCTACTATGTGCAAGCTAGCCAGACCCTATGCCGTGTGTTTTATGGGCATGCTTTTATGATCCATCCCGTTTACAGAGCAGGAGACAAGGGCCCAGAGAGGTAAAGATAGCTTTTCCAGGTCCCACAGCGAGGGAGGCCGGAAGAGGGAATCAAATGCAGGCCATGTGTGTCCCGGCCACTCACCTGAGGTTCTGCTGGAGTTTCTCAGTCCTGATGTGCCAGCCGCGGAAATTGCCTGGCGGATGGAGGAGTAAAGGATTAGAACGTGCCCCTGCTCCAGGGCCACCCCCTCCACAGCATGGGGCTAGCCTCCGGGCACTTACCCAGAGCCTCCAGGGGTTGCTGGGTGGGACCGGTAGGGGGAGCTGGCTCATAAATGTTGATGCCTGAAAGGCGCAAGGAAGCGGAGCCTCAGGCGGGTTGAAGCTGCCCTCCTTCCTGCAGGCTCCCCGCTCCCTGCCCGCTGGACTCGGCTGGAAGGACGGGAATCAGTGCCCCGCCTGCCAGACCAGCCCAGCCAGGCAGCGGGGAGTGAGTCAGGGCCCTGGGAGAGCCCTGAGAATGTCCTGGGGTCAGAGGGCCAGTGCTCGGAGCGGGAGGGCGTTGTGTCGAGAGGGGAAGAACAGAGGGAAAAAGAGAGAGGGGAACCAAGGAAAAGAGAGAGAATGTGGGAGGAGGGAGATAGCTCCGGGAGATAGTGAAGGACAGGGAGGCCTGGCGTGCTGCAGTCCATGGGGTCGCAAAGAGTCGGAATGACTGAGCGACTGAACATGGGAGGAGAGAGGGAGAGATACAGGGTGAGACAGACCCTGTGAGACATAGAGACACAAGATGCAGAAAGAGACAGAGATGAAAGTGAGACAAAGAGACACGCTGAGAGAAAAGGGGACAGAGAAGGAAGTGCTAGAATGCATGGCTGCTCCGTCGCTCAGGCGTGTCATTTTCTTTGCGACCCCATGGACTGGAGCCCGCTAGGCTCCTCTGTCCATGGGATTCTCCAGGCAAGAATCCTGGAGCGGGTTGCCATGCCCTCCTACGGGGGATCTCCCCGACCCAGGGATCGAACCCGCGTCTCCTGCATCTCCTACAGTGCAGGTGGATTCTTTACCGCTGTGCCGCCGGAGAAGCCGCAGAGAAGGACGCAGAGGAATAAAAACACAGAGGGAGACATCAAGAGACAGAGACGGGGAAACAGAGCAAGAGAGACAAGGAGACAGACAAAGAGAAGACGTGACCGACGGTCTAGGTGAGCGAGCCCTGGGGAAGGAGACGGAGGCGTGGCGGCCTGCCGGCTGTGCAGCCTCGAGAGGACCAGGGCCCGCACCTTCGGGGTTGGGCGAGCGCAGCAGGTTGCGGTAGAGCGGCCGCCGCAGGAACAGCAGCTTCCAGGTGAGGCGCGGGGGCAGCTCCAGGATCCCTCCCGGCGGCGCCCACTCTTGCAGCAGCAGCTGCCGCGCGTGGGCCTCGGTTGGCGACTCGGGCGCGGGGAGCCCGGGGGTCTCGGGGGCCGCGGGCGAAGGCGGCGACGGGGGCGGGGGAGGCGACGCCGGCTCCTGGGGGCTCGCGGGTTCCTCCATCCCGCCGCCGAGCTCCGGTCCTTCCCGCACCTCCTCCATCGCTCGGGTCTGGGTGACTGTCCCGGCTCCTCCGCAGGGTTCGGGGTGAACCCAGGGCGGGAGAGGGCGGAGCGCCTCGGCTGGCCTTTAAGTAGAGGGGTGTGTTGGGGGAAGGATCCAGGTCCCCAGGCCCTCCTCCCTCGGGCTCGGGAGCCCAGGTCCCAGCACCTCCTTCTCCCAGCCTGCAGAAGTCCGGGTCCCAGCTCTGCTACGTTTCCCAAGCCTCTTGCTCCAGTTTCCCCAGACATCAGCCCTGGAGAGGGGTGTGACCAAGGCGCTAATGCCAGGGCTCGGCTCGCTAATGAGGCCCATCCACCTCATTAACATCCCGCGTGGCTGGAGGAGAGCTTAATTAATGAAGCCCCCCTCTCCCCCCCCCCCGCAACCTCCCCGTCAGCTGGGCATGCCCTAAGGGGTGGGGGTGGGAGGGGAGTCCCGCCTCTGCTTGTTCCTCCTCTGCCCTCATTTGGGACACAAACTTGGGACCTGTTATTTCTTTCCCAGAAGCATAGTGGGGGTGGGGCGGACAGAGAGAGACCCAGAGAGACCCTGAGCTAGAGATGGAGAGTCACAGAGATGGGGGACCCGAGGGAGACACTGAGATAGTGTCAGGAAGGGAGGTAGTAACCCCTCCTGGGTATCGGGGTGCCTTGCATCTCTTCCTGGGGTTGGGGCAGGTGGTGCAGGCTGGCCAAACCTCCTCCCTGGGAGGTCATAGGGAGTTTGGAGTCAGGGCTGGAGCAATGGCGGGGGCAGGAGGTCAGGGTGCGGAGGAAGTGGGGTGGCGGAGGAACCTGTAGGGCCAGATGCCCAGGGCCACATCCTGCCCTTGCCACATCCCACAGCCCGCCCAGGTAAGCACAGGCTCAATCCCACATAAGTTACCAGTAACAAGCGCCACAGTGAGTGCTTTCTGCTTGCTAGATGTGTCCTAAGCTTTTACAAGTTCATTTCATCCTCTAACAACGTAGGTGCTACTATTACGGGCATTTTATACGTAAAGAAAAGATAAAAGTGAATGAATATGGAGTTGCGTGCCAGCCGCATGCACCCCAGCATCCAGCTTGCACACCAAGAGTAGGGAGCTGTTGTTATCCCCATTTCACAGATGAAAAAACAGAGGACTCCCTCACAGGCCTGGTCCCATACCACCCCAGATAACCCCATATGCTTCCCGCCCCAGATTCCTGCAAGATGCTGACAGACACATTCTGCAGACGTACAGAGTGGAGCTCACACCCAAATGATGATGCTCGTGTAATTAACGCCTGTGTGCCAGGCATTGTTCTAAATTCTTTAGGTGGAGTAATTAATTCAATCTCCATATCTTCCATAGGAAATAGGTACTATTGTCATACCCGTTTTGCAGACTCTTACTTTTGTAGAAGTCTCCGTAACTGAGAGTAGAAGTCTCAGTTACTGAGACTCAGAGAGGTCTAGTAACTCACCCAAGGTTGCACAGCTGCTACGTGGCAAATTGGACACGGAGTCTCATGTGATACATAGGGAAACAGGTTCAAATTGCCCCCAGAGACAGTGGCTCACACAGAAACAGATTTGAGAACATAGTTACATTTTTTGAGTGTCTGCCTTTAGCTCATTAAGTCTTACAACAACCCTGGGAGGTGGGGACGGGTAATAGTTCCTCCATGGACTGACTGGGGAACTGAGCGGCAAGAGAGGTGACGTGACCTATCCTGGGAAAGCTGGGAATTAGCCAGGGCCCTGGGGGGAGGAAGGACCCACAGAAGGGGACAAGCTGACTTATGTGCAGTATCCCTGCTCACCCAGAAGTCCTCAAGAGGTTTCCAAATGCTTGCAGAGCCCATGATACACGCATAACTGGAGACACTCGCACCACCACTGCAAGCGCACAGACCCACACCCAGGCCTGGCTGCCTGCCTGCCTTCATTGGAGGAGGCGGAAAGGACAGAGTCAGGAGGAGGAGTGTCTGTCTAGTGGAGTCAGAGCTGTCCCCAGGTCAGAATCCGGGGCAGGGATTGGCTCAGAGCCAGAGACCAAAAAAAAAAAAAAGGCAGGAAATCGGTAGAATGAGGATCAACACCCCTCCTCAGTCTGCCCCCCTCCTGCCTTGGTGTCCACATTATCTCACTCCAGGGGTCCTCAGCCCCTTCTTACACACACACACACACACACACACACACACACACACACACGCCACAGTCAAAGGGGTCTTATGAAAGGTTAAACACAAGTAATCACTCCCCCACTTAAACCTGCCGTGGCTCCCCAGTGCCCTCAGGAGAAAAATCCCAGCTCTCTGCCAGCATTCGAGGCCCTGGATTTCTGGTCCTTGTTTTCTCCCATCTCAGGGATTTTGCTCCGAAAGTTCTTTCTACCCAGAATGCCCTTCTGTCTCACCCATATCCTCATATCAAGTGATCCCCAAACTTTAGGGCTCACTAGATTCACCCAGGAAACTTATTTTAAACATGTATTTTCAGGCTTCCCTGGTAGTCCAGTAGTTAAGATTCTGCACTTTCAATGCAGGGGGCATGGGTTCGATCCCTGGTCAGGGAACTAAGATCCCACATGCCTCATGGCATGGCCAAAAGAAAAAAAACGTATTTTCAAACCTTACTCCCAGAAGTCTAATTCAGTCCCTGTGGACCCAGAATCTGAAATTTTAGAAACACCCACCCTATCACCCCATACTATGAGAAATATTTTTACTTAAATCTGAGCGATCCGGGAGCCATACAGAGCCAAGTGTCTTTCAACATTAGATCTCCAATGTCTCCTTTCTTCATCTTCCGATCAGCAAAGGTCCCAGTGGGGGGACTCAAGCTCTGAAACAGTGATCTAGAAGCAAAGAAAGCAGGTTGGTGGTTGTCTGGCTGTAGGGCAGAGGGGTGGCCTTTCTGGGGTGAGAAAAAAGCTTTATCTTAATTGTGGTAGTTATACGGGAGTATACACTTGCCAAAATTCATCAAACTGTGTCTTTAGAATGAGTGAGTATGGGGGGCGACTTCCTTGGTGGTCCAATGGTTAGGAATCCGCCTGCCAATGCAGGGGACATGGGTTCCATCCCTGGTCTGAGAAGATCCCACATGTCTGGGAGCAACTAAGCCTAAGCACCACAAATACAAAGTCCGTGCTCTAGAGATCCTGCTCCGCAACAAGAGAAGCCACTGCAATGGAAAGCCTGAGCACCGCAACAAAGACCCAGTGCAACTGAAAGAAAAAAAGGGTTTAGGGACTCTCCTGGTGGTCCAGTGGTTAAAACTTCATGCTGCAAGGCAGGGGGCAAAGGTTTGATCCCTGGTTGGGGAACTAAGATCCTGCGTTCAGCCAAAAATAATAAAATTTTAAAAAATTAATGGGTGTATTTTCTTGTATGTAAATTATATCCCAGTAAGAAAAAAAGCCAAAAGGATATGGCAGTCCTGACGTACAGACAAGGAAATAGCAACAAACCTCCCGCTCCTCTCACTTGGCTGCTCAGTCACGTCTGACTGTTTGCAATCACGTGGACTGTATCCTGCCAGGCTCCTCTGTCAGTGGGATCTCCCAGGCAAGAATACTGGAGTAGGTTGCCGTTTCCATCTCCAGGGGATCTGCCTGACCCAGTGATCGAACCCCTGTCTCTTGCGTCTCCTGCATTGGCAGGCAGATTCTTTACCACTAGCCACAAGTCTATTGGGTGAAAAAGGCAAGATGTAGAATAGTGGGCCTCATAGGCTTCTAACTTTTATTCTCTCAATAAGTACTTATTAAACATCCACAGTGGCCAAGCCCTCTGTGTTGGTGATATAATGGTAGAAGAACAGCTTCCTATCCCTTTGTGGCTTCCTTGTGGGAGGAGGGATGGACTTCAACAATTTAGGAATTTTTTCTTTCTTTTTTTTTATTGACCAAGTCATTGGGCTTATGGGTTTTTAGTTTCCTGACCACGGATTGAACCTGCACTCTCAGCAATGTCAGCACGGGGTCCTAACCACTGAACCACCAGAGAATTCCCTCAATAAGTAACTAATTAACAAGCAGCACTAAATGCTTTGATGGTGAAAAAGGTTGTAATGACAGGGAAAAGGAGGGGGTTGGGAGCCCGTTTTAGCTGAGGTGGTCAGGGAAGGCTTCTTAGAGGAGGTGACATTTAAGCAATGACCTGAAAAGGAGGCAACAGCATGTGTAAAGGCCCTAAGGTAGGAACAGGAGTGGTGGGTTTGGGGAACAAGAAGGAGCCACAACAAGAGGGAGGAACAACATTGGAGCCACAGTGTGGCTGCGATGGAGGGGGCGCAGAGGAGATGAGATCAGATAGAGCATTGGGGGGCGGCAGCTCTGTAGGATTTATCGAAGTGTAATAAATTCACAGTGAAACTGTGGGGAAAGTTTCAGCTGGGAAGGGATGAACTGATTTCTAGCTGAGTGAGGGCAGAGGGTGCAGGGAAACGATAAAGAAGGAGCTGGGGGTGGACAGGACCAGAGTGGCACCATGGAGTGACTGACGGGTCGAGGACAGATTGAATATCTTTGTTGATTTGACAGAGAGGAAAGCCTTGATTGGCCTTGAGGGTTGAGCAGCGGGCAGAAGGTGGTACCATCTGCAGAGAGGGGAAGATGAGGTCTGAACAGGATTGACGGTGAGGAGGAAGCAGGAAGCAGTATTCTATCTCAGATGTCAGTTATTGTTGTTGCTTAGTCACTAAGTCGTGTCCAACTCTATTATGACCCTGTGGCCTGTAGCCCACCAGGCTTCTCTGTCATTGGGATTTCCCAGGCAAGAATACTAGAGTGGGTTGCTACACGAACCCATGTCTCCTGCATTGGTAGGAGGATTCTTTACCACTGAGCCACTGGGAAGCCCCAGATGTCAGTACTGGACATCTAAAGGGGCAATATTGGGGGTAGGGGCAGCTGGATGTACAAGGCAGAGCTCAAACACAGTATCAGGGCTCAGACACAAATCAGAGGCATCACCATGTCAACACCTGAGGGACAGAATGAGATGATAAAAACAACAACAATAATAGCA